CTTTCATTATCTCCTTTAAAAAGATTCTGTTCCTGTGCGTGAAGCCATAGGTATATCAAGCAGTTAAATATTCTTCAAGTTCAGAAAAAAGAGCTAACATGTCTGACATTGCATTTCTTGGGTGACATCACCTTATGATGAAAATAGTCCATTTTTGAGCTCTGTTTTAAATTTTTGAGAAACTTTATAGATGGAGAACTTTCTAAAAGATTGCTAATAAACCTTGGGCTGCAATACCGATACAAGCTTACCCTTTCTGAAGCCAGGTATATAGTTTGTAGGTGTGTAGTATTGTACTGTAGAGCCTTTCTGAAAAGTCTTGCTTAGACAACTGTACCGGAGCCCACTAAATGCTAATAAAATTGTTCTTGTAGTGAGGGGATTCCTTCCCAGAAGGAGATGGGGTATTGGAAACTGATGACATAATTCTGTGTACATGCTTATCCCCCTCCCCTGTGTTGTTTTCAGCCATATGATATTGGAACTGTACTTGGAAATTAAGAAATCTAAAAGGAGAAATTAAGCTTAATTTGTAGGATACTTTGCTTAAGGTTTTTAGTTTTCAGACTCGGAAAGCTCCCTGTGGGTTTTGAAATAGTCCAGGCTGGGGACACTGCAGAAAATGTATTTCTGCTATACTTTGTTATAAAAAGCTTAATTCAGTCTCTCTGGGAAAATCCAGAAACAACTTCCCTTGCTTACAAATGTGCCAAAAATTGTCTAAATTTGCAAATGATTATTTTTCCCTCTTGGGGCATATCTTCACAGTAGATTGTCAGTTTTTGCAGAACCTTGTAAGTCTTCCCAAAGTACCCTACAGTGAAAAGAATAGGTAGTCATAAAAAAAAAAAAATTAAAAAAAATCAGAAGCCAAAACCCCAGCAATTTAGTCATCTGTTCAGCAGAACAGCTTTATATGTTTTATTTACAATACATAACTCTTGCTTTAACAGACTCGGTCTCAGCTGTGAAGAGATTTTCAGGGTTCAAGCTTTACACTTAAATGTCAGAAGAACTTAAACCAGATGTACTATATTTTCTATTTTTTAAGCATGACACAGTCCTATATTCTCCATACATTCCGTACGTTTCTACTAGAGAGAAGGCAATAGTATTAAAATTACTGGACATGCGGTATAGCCACAGAATATAAGATAAATTTGCCTTTTGTATTAAATAGAATTCTTTAGAATGAAGCTCAAACAAATGGTTGCAAATATGAAATGTTTTATCTTGAGTAGGTAAATGCTCTTTCTTCTACTATTTTCAATCCCCTCTCATACTTCTCTCAAAGTGTTTCAGGATGGTTTTAATTTCTGTTACCGTTTAATATTTCATTGAGCAAGATTTGTAAAGGAGCAAAGTACTTGCACCACCTTGTCCTGTTTTGCTTTTCATTTCTCTGTTTGCCTAGCTTACCCTGTATTCATTTTCATCAATGTGCTCACTTAATCTAGATACTTAAATTTCAAATTCTACTTGTGTAAGAATTGAATTTTGCAAATATAATGCTAGTTGTGGGTATATCAGCATGATTTACAAATTTCAGATTTAGGTAAATAATTAGCTGAAAGACAGCATGTGGAGAAGTTGCCAAAACATTTGGCTGTGTGCACAGTAGTTTTTCTAAAGGTGGTTGTCATAAAAGCAGATATTCATCACTCTGAAGACTGGGAAATCCAAAGGCGACCAGGTGAGTTTGCAAGTGTGCTCTGTCATCCTTGAAAGGCAACAGAGATGACCTAGTCCCCAGTGACTAGGGAAGGGCAAGTGCTCTACCCATCTTCAAAAAAGGCCAAAAATAAATGTGGGGGACTAGAGGCCAGTCAGCCTTGCTGTGATCTGTGGGGAAAATCACAGACCAAAACATCTTGGAACACATTTTTAGACACATGGAGAGAAGAAGTTGCCTGGAAATGCTTTTTTTGCCTCACTGAACTTTTTGCTTTGTCAGTTGAATTGCACCAAATCTCCTGTCTTACTGCATTCAGGAAGCTATTATATATAAGTTCTACATACATTATGAATACATTAGTTACCAGAAGTTAGAGGTAGGCGGTAACCATAGGAAAGCAGTAGGAAGCAGCATTTTTATGATGCATATGATAATTTTATACTGATATGAAAGGTAATCGTTATATTTTGCATTGATTGCAGCTTTGTGCACAGACCAATGCTTCTTTAATTTTCTCTAGGCAAATCCTTTACAGATGGAAGACAAATACTATTGTATAAAGATCTAATTAAAAAAAAATCAGCTAACAAACAAGGCAAAATACTATCTATTAAACAAAATCAGATACTTTTTGAAACAAAAACCTGTATTGTGTCTCAAATGGAAGTGTGCTGAGGTTGCACTGTTATCATAGAACATATAATGTTTATCCCTAGAGTCACTCATCGTGCCAGTACAGTAAATTAATACAACGTCCAATGTGATGTAGCAAAAGCTAATACCTAGAACTGTCTAGTAATAGTTAAATTTTCCTGCTTACTTGATTAGCTTCTGTTGTTTGCTCCAGAATTGGTTAAGCAGTTACTCTCTACTACTGCTCCATAATCAAATAAAATCTCAATGATTTTCCTTAAATGCTTAACTGGATTCCAGTATCCACTGTTAGGAAAATAAAAATTTGTTTTCAGCCATTTGCTGATTATAAGCAGAGCCAATAACTTGTTAAAGTTACACAGTACCTCCTCTTAAACCCCTATTTTTTGTTGCATGAATTTACCATTCTATAACATTTTTTCAAAGATGGGTCATGCAAGAATGTCTCAGCATTTGTTTGTTTGTTTTTCTTTCTTTAATTTCACTGGTACAGACACTGGCAGGTTGTTCATGGTAAAAACAGCTTCATTAGCAGTGGCGCTTCTATTTTCTTTGAGAAAGTAGAGGGTAGCATAGGCAACTGCTTTTAATGTCAGCGCTGATGGAAGCTCAACCTGGATAAAATCAAGATGTTGGCCAATGCAATCAAAAAAATCATGGATTTGAGACTTTTTGATTTACTGTGCCTTTTAGTTATTCAAGTCCACAGTCTATGTATATTACAAATCTCTGCTAAATTCAGGGAGCTGCAGCTTCTTGTTTAGTTTCTGTGCTTTGTAAGCTAGAAATACGAAGTTGTCCAGTTACTTATACTTTTGGTCACATCCAATATGGATTAGTCTTATTTTGCTGAGTAAACAATGTCTACAAAAGCTATGTAAAATTCAGACTCGTGTTCTGGAGATAATAGTGCTTTTCATTTAGTTTCCAGATGAGGTACAAATACTTGCTGTTCAGAGCAAATCATTTTACAACTTAGTAATTGAGCAACTGTGGTGTCTTCATGCTTCACCCAGTTTTTCAGAACTTCGGTATTCTTTAACCAACGACGTACAGAAATAATCTTATTAAGTTTACAGAAGTGATGAAGGAATCGACCAAGACTTAGAACTTGCTATGCCACATTGCATTAACAGAGTATCGTATGGCCTTTACTTCAAAGAACCTATAGTCTAAATGAGTAAAAGTAGACGTGGACTTAGAAAGTGTTATGAAGCACAGCAGAAGACAGGAAAAAATGGCAAGCACAAGCGTCGTTGATGTGGCATTATCTTGTTATGGGTGTAGTTGTTAGGAGTTCAGTTTAAATTCAGAAGAAGGGGCTGGGGAGAAGGCTGAAGGAGTCCTGGGCAATGAGAGGAGTGAGTGCTGCTGGGGATAAAAGTAAGTGGGGAAAAGCAAATGTGGAAGAGGGGGGAAGGCTAGAGGGAACGCTGCAAACCAGATATGATCCAGTGGGCTCCAAACATTTTCAGTGTGCAAAGACCACTGGCTTGGCTGCTCTTTAAAGCTGTCCTTCCTGCCTGGTGTCTGTCCCGTTCCTCCCCCAGCAGCACACCAGGGAGGGGTAGGGTATCATTGGGGTTCCTGTACCCCAAGGACACAAGGGGCTCCTCAGTCAAGTTCTGTGCCCTGCGGCCTCTGCGAGACCTCGTCTTCCCCTCCTTGCCAAGCACAGAAGTCCCCGATTTAGCTCCTTCTGCAACTCCTCCAACCATCTGGAGTCCATGCCTCCTTCAGAGCAGTGGAACTAAAGTAGAAATCTAAGAATGGGGTTTGTTTGCATCAGTTCAAACTACTGTTGTCTTCTTTATTTAAATTTTAATTAATACTTGTACATTTGGGTATCTTCAGGAAAATAATGTAAACACAATTGAATGTTTAATATAGTACTTTATGCCATCCTGAAGTAACTTTTAACAAACTTGTTAGAAGCTTTAAAATATTTTGGCTCTTTAAAGCTTTCACACTGGAAAAATCTAAGTATTGAAATGCATAACTTACGGAGGAGGGAAGATGCTAGATATTGAAATGATGGTGTATCTTTTCCCCTTTTGAAAGAAACCAAAGCACACTGCATTTTTAATGTTGATAACTCCCCATTAAAAACTTTAAATGCTCCTAAATGACTTTAACTTGCTGAAGGACTGCCTTTTTCTTTCAGATGTGTTAGAATTCATATTAGCACTACTTTGCCCTTGTTTCTGAATTATTTTAATGACGGCAGCCGCTCCACCAAGCTGTCTGTCAAGATGTGGGTGGCAGGCTATTATTTCACTTCATAAATCATAATTTACAGGGTTTTTTATATCCATCTTGGGGATAAACACTTTATGCTTTGTGTTTTCAGCAGCAATATAAAATGTAATTGATACTTAAAGCAATATGTTAGAAATATGGACAGAGAAAGCCAGGAGAGAAAAATCACAAATGTTTAGTTTTTCTGTGGATTGGTCTACATACTGAGCATTTTTTCCATCTGATTTCATATTCTTAGCACTTCAACAGAGGATGATGATGAATTACATTTACATGATTGCTGCCTGTAGGTTACTATAAGGATGTTTCTTTAGTTATAGACACTCAACAGATCAGTTATCTCAACAGGGTCATTTTGTACAGTTTCTCATGCTGCTAAATAAACTTATCGCTTTGTGCTATTGTCTTCCAGATTCATGAAAAACTGCATTATTATGAAAAACAGAACCCAGTGCCCATACTCCACGGTGCAGCAGCCTTGGCAGATGATGTAAGTGTCCCCTGCTGAGATCACTGGTACCAAGTCTCCCAAAAAACTGTCTGCAAGCAGAACTCCTCATAGCACAAACATATGAATGTAATCCTGTGAGCTGAAATCATAAGAAGCTGCAAATGTTTCCAAAGGTGCTGTCATCACCAGGCTTGTTGCTGATATTACTTTGATTTTTATTCACTTGACTGTTATAAAAACATTGCATCTAGATAGCCTCTTGTTCTGCTTTACTAACTACGTAATAGAAATTACAGGTTGGAACTCTACTGGGAGGGGAAAAGCTGTCAACTATTAGTGTTTTGTGAAAGTCACAGACAAGAGGAATGCTTTGGAAAAATAAAGACAAATGAGATAGCAGCACTGCTGACAGAACATGAAAAATGACAGATAATACTACAGAAATGAAGCATATGAAATGCCTAGGAAGGAGGCTTGTTAAAAAAAATCAAAAACTATTTAAGAAAAAGTACAGTAGTGATTTATTGATATTGGAGCTTTCCAAATTACCTTCATAACCAAAAAATAAATTGTAAAAGTGGTCGGCATTGATGGAGTAGTTAATTTCCTGTTACTATAATTTTTATTTTAAAGAAAAAAATCCAACCTGCCATTTCTTGCTATTTGGTTAGTTCTAGGATTCAGATGAATTGTGCACACACCTGTGTAAACTATGACTGAACCTAAGGTAGGCCAGGATAGAGAAATGTTTAATAACCTGTGGTTTAGGTGAAATCCAGAAATCTTTGTTGCAATTGATGATCTCAGGTTGTTTTTTGGAAAAGGCAATATGTATTAGGATCCATTTCAAATACAGCATGTTTGAAACTTCACATACTTTATAGATGTGTTAAAATCTTAACTATCTTTTTATATAATTAATAGCTTTTGATTTTTAAATTTGACAAATGGTTAGATGTTGTGAATTGAGAATGGTAACATTTTAACAAAAAAATAAATTAAACATATTTTAAGTCTATTGAAAAAAGGATATAATGTAATTTAATCATGTTTCAGTAGGAGGAGAGCTATATCCTGTAACATACCAAATATAATAATGCATTAGCTTTGACATCAGGCATATATTAGTAATATTTTTTTAACCTTCAAGTAGCTTTGAATGATGTTGATAGTAATTTTGAAAATTAGAAAGCTGGTTGAAATTCTCTTCATTAAGTTCTTGGTGACATATTAATAATCCTTGTTAACATTTGTGTTATGGATCTCTGGGCTAAAATTCTTAATAAGAATAATTTCTTATTTTTGGATGCAAAACTTAGTTCTTGATATTTTCAGAAATGCTGAGCAATCTCATTCTTTGTTCAGCCCCATTTAAAATGTATAGTTTTGGAAATCCCCAAATTAAAGTACTCTGTCACTCCTCAGTTGAGAGAGGTCAGGGTTTTTAACCCTATGAATGTATTACTATGTATATATGGTAGTATTTTCAAAATGTACATATGTTGGGACATGAGTGTCTCTAGGCATCTGCCTACTTTTTAAGCACAGCTTCTTTTTAAAGATCCTCTTGCTGGTTCTTCATTTTTGCTTATGTGTAGCTGAACAGCTGGTTTTATGGGCACTGTCCCATAGAATAAAGATGTCCTTTGGCAGCTGAAGTCAGGCTAACACACTGCAGGATTTTCTGTGTTTCAGTAGTTATCAGCAAACTTTGAGGAAGGTAATTTGCATGCAGTGGGTTTTGTAACTCCAAAACCCATGAAGTTCCAGGATTAAAGTGCTATTCAATTTTTGGCACATTTGTCTGACTAGCTGTCAGCTTCAGGGATTTAAGAGCATGTTGGTGATATAAAACACACTTTTATTTCAATAGGTTTTAAATTAATGTTTTGTCTTCCTAGTGATAGTAACTGTTCTATAGTCAAACAAAGGAGATATTCTTATTAGCAAGTGAATATTTCCTGTTTGATTTAAAACCCAAATTTGAGGTGCTGCTAACATAACTAAAAACTGTTCAAGGAGTGTGGTTTTATTCTTGTGTTATTTTTTAAAGCTATTTTAGAGGTAACAATAGTGGTGAGGCTTCTTTTCTAAACATTTTCATTTTCCTAGCTGCCATACCTTCTCTCTCTTCATCCCCAGTGACTTTTAGGCTGAATTTCCCATCAGAGATTCTGTTTGCCTCTTATTCTGGAGCAGCAGTGTCTGATGTAGGACTCTTGCTTTCATGCAAATGTTCTAAACATTGCTTGCAGTATAGGTATGTACAGCAAATAAGGCCTCTAGGTTATTAGAAAGGCTGTTCTGGCAAAAAAAGTTTCTGAACTTTCTCAAGAAGCTTTAAACCCCCAGGCCCCACTGGTCCTCATCTCGCCCGCCTCACCCCACATCTGCCCCTCTCCCCTGGTTTGTCTTCCCCTCCCTATAGTGGCAGCTCTTCATAAAGAACTTGGTGAAATGTTATGGTTCCCTCAACAGAGAATCGTAGAAGAGGTTCTCAGACAGCTTTTCCGGCAGTCTTTGGCATAGGTGGTGATTCGCACAGTATCAGTGTGCCCAAGGTATTTCACATAGTTTGTTCTTCTGCTGGTAGCTGTCACAAATCTCAGCACTTCAAAAACTGCTAAAAATCTGGTCCAAAGCTCCTAGAAGCACAACAAGCAGCTCTGGTGCTGTTTGCTAATCTGGAAACATGGCTTTGTCGTCCTCCTCCTCTATCAATCTTTGTCTTCCTCCTCCTCTTCCATTATGGGGCGTTACATGTGCCTTTAAGACTTTTATGGAAATATTTGGGAAAACCTAGTAAATTATATCAGTGGAAACATTTTAAATTGTTTCATCTCTGAACAAATATTTTCTAAATTATGAGATTTAAAAGTCTATTAAAGCAATAACAAAATATTCTGTTTCTCACTGTTCTAAACCTTATGCACCTGCATTTACATTTGCACCACCAAAGCAAACACCAGTTCTGCTGAAGTTAATAGATGCTTGTGCACAATTCATCTGAGAGAGAAACGCTGAACCAGTCATTCTTACTGAGTGATTACTACTCTTCATCAGTAAAACACGAATGAATAGATTTTATTTTCTAGGTGATGCATAGTATGAGCTAAGGGATGAAAAGAGAACCAAGGGGAACCTGTGTCATATACCTGCTGTCATTCCTATCACAGATTATTTTCAGCTTTGCAGAGCTTTTCCGTAGAACATGCAGGCTAGATTGCAGTCAGAATACCTCAATACTTGTCTTTATGTGCCTAAAATATTTCATTCTGACCTTTCCAAAGGAGGTTGTTTTCTAATCTTTCAGTATTAAGACACAAGTATTGTTAAGATTAGCATTGATGTATTTGATGGACGTTTTTATCTATGAATTATAGTTAAAAGGCTGTGGACTGTAGGTGATTAATTTTTCTTCTAGTCCTGTTACCCCTCTATTAATTTGAAGGTTAAAAAAAAATACTAAAATCATGTCTGATGTCTATAATTGCTTCTAGAATTAGTCTATTATATATAATTATGCAAAATATACTTCTATCTATTTATCTTGAAAATTTATACAAAATGAAAGTACAAATTTAGAATTAGGCCAGACGAATAAAATTACTTGCTGCAAATAACCAATCTTTTTTTGAGACATTTTTATGATACTGATTTAGTGCAAAGAAAATAAGTGATTATCTGAAATCACATTTTGGATTACGAGCCATGTAGCTTCAGAATTTTAAACTAAAGTTCAGTGTTGTGAAATATGTTTTAGCTTTTCCTTCTTCTGGAAAAATAGTTCAAGTCTGAAATCCTGCAGTAAAATATGCCTCTTGAGTCCAAATTAGTTGAGAATGTCGTGATAAGAAAAACTCAAGACATGAGCCAAATAGCCGTGGGATTAAACGTTAGACTGCTGCTCTATTGTTCACCAAGCCACAATTTTGTAGTATAACCAAACATAAATTACTGATCTTGTTGTTAGGATGTAGTTTGTGCATTTTAGGGGCTTGAATTGTTGATGACCTGTTATAAATGATATTATGATTAACCCGCTTCACATTTAACAAGCTCTTTCCAGTGTATGTGTAAACATAATAAAAGGTTCAGATTGCTTGCACTGTAGGGGCACTTTGCTTTCTTATCCCAGTCCTAAACAGCACAGCTACTGTGGGTTTTTGGAAGCAGTGTGGATTTCACCACCTCATTCAAAACTATTTTTTATAGACAGTGTCAAAGTTTGATCCAGTCATTTTTACAAGCAGTCCTTTGTCTGCACGCAAAGGACTATTCACTTAAATGAAGTGCTGGGATTTGCCCCCATTGCTATAAATCAGAATGTGATCTGGCTGCACCCTTGCCAGAAATGATTACTTGTGTTAAACTGAGCCAAAAGGCCTGGCTTAAATCTGGTCCACCGAGGGCCAGAAAAAGAAGCGTGGTGATTGATGGTGTTTTTCTTCATGCTGGCTTCTGTTTGAACACACTGGAAAGTAATAACCTTGAACAAGATAGATTCTGGGTTCTCACTGATGCACTGGGTAAAACAACGCTTTGCTAATGGTCTTTGTGTCGATTCCATCTCCCACCCAGCTGGCTGAGGAGCTGCAGAGCAAGCCACTGAGCAGTGAGATCAGAGAACTGTTGAAACTCCTCTCAAAACCCAATCTCAAGGTGAGGATGTGTTGCACCTGCAGAGTGCTTTCTGCATGGGTGTCTGCATCTGCTTCCCTGGGCTGTGAGGGAGTTTGTCTGCTTTAATGAATATGTGTGCTTTTAAGAGAAGTCACAATGTTAATTGGAAATACCTGTTATGAAGAGACATGTTTAATGTTGCCCGTAAATTATTATGCTGTAACTGATATTTATAAAAGGAATTCAGTGGAAAGCCATTGATATTTACAGAGGATATTCCAAAAAGTAGATACAAGATTTTTTTTTTGTCTTTTGCTAACTTTTATTGCATGTGCTTAATAAATTTATTACAAATGTGCTTTTACTAAAAGGTTTTCAGTCATACTATTGATTTAATTGCACCGTGCATAAGTAGCGCAACCTGGTACTTTCAACAAAATTCCTGATGGATATTATTTAAAAAAAAAAATCTAATTTTGAAAACTTTCTGCAAAACTCCTGGGGTTCTCTGTGGTGCTTTTGGGGAAATTGATACCTTTTTTCTGACAGTAGGCTATAGAACCATTGCATCACTCAGGTTGGAAGGAGGTTGTCTAGTCCAATTTGTTGCTCAAAGCAGAGTCAACACTGAGTTCAGAGCAGCTTGCTCAGGGCTTTCTCCCACCAGATCTTTAAAATGCCTGGGAACAGACATTCCACACACGCTCTGTGCAGCCTCTTCCAATTCCTAATTATCCTCCTAGTAAAAACTGGTTTTCTTATATCCAGTCAGAACCTTCCCTGTGTATCATTGTTAATGCACACTATCACATTATTTTTCCACTCTAAAGAGAAGGAAGACCTTAGTGCTGTAGATGCATATTGCAATGGTAATTAAATGCAGCAGTTGATAAGTTTAGAGGAAAACTGTAGAGTGGAAAGGAGCCCTTTTTAAGACAGCTGCTTCTTTGTAGTCCCTTTAAAACACTGATCTCAAAACCTCAGACCCTATTATATCTTCAAAGTGCTACAAAATTTTAAAGATCAATTATGCCTCCTTTTTAAAGATTTTTGCACAGTTGGTTATTCCATAGTTTGCAAAGTGACAAACTTTTTCTCTGAATGGATAAGCAATGCCAATGGCATATTACAAGAGGAACTGTTGGTGCATCAAATTGCAGAGATCCTGAGCTTCATTGTAGGTATTTCCTTAGTGACTGTCCACGTGTGTTTCATACGTCTGAAGCTTTAGTGGATTGAGCCTGAAGACAGCTTGTTTGCCACAACTGCATCTCTCCCTCTCCCTTTCTTGCTTTCTCTTTCTCTCCCCACCCCCAACCTCCTCCCTCTCCCTCTCCCTCCTTTGGAAGCAGTTAAATGCAATGTGATAATCTTAGTGGAATTTCAGGGAAACAAGTGCCTTACCCCCAGCGTGACTGAACAACTGCAGTAACTTAGCAAATGTCTGTCTTGGCTGCAGGGGGAGATGGCCAGCTGTAGGGTACCAAGCCTTTTGCACGGCCAGACTGCCTAATCCTGCAGAAGGGTGCATGTTTCCCTGCCCTGCATAGCTCGCAGGTGTTTGTGTGAGTTAGGGGAAAGAACTGACAGTATGCGTGACACTTTTGCCTATCCATTATCTTCTCCATTTGCCATCTCATGGCAAGCATGCCTGGGGGAGGTGGTAAATTATCACTGCTCCCTCCTCCATCACATTGACCAGGCGAGTGTACTGCATTCGGTCAGAGGCTGTTTCAGTTGAGATTCTTCTGTGGATTTCCCCTGCTCTGTCTTGGGCAGAAAAGGAAAGGAAGTAAGTTGCTGGGACTATTTCCAGTTCTGCCCCAGAGATGCCCTTGAGTCTGTTCAGCTGTATCTGAGCTTATGCTGTACATTGCATAAGATTTTCTAGCCTTTCACTATTAGGTTGATGGCTGGAGAGGGTTTGTTTCTTTCCTTCTAGATTCCTGGGGCAAAATGATGTCTAGAAAAACTCTTTCCCTCACATCTGAAATTACTTGGGATAATTGATTTGTCTTTCCCAATGATGTTGCATAGGCTTTATCTAAGAACTTGTATATGCCTTAATTTGGGATTGACTTAAACTGACTGTATGTTATTCTGAGGGGGAAACTTTCCTCTCCTGATCTGGCTTATAACTGCAGTGTTAGCTGGAGCCAGCAGGAGAGCTTCCACTTTCCTTACAGCTCTGCTCTAATGTTCATGGCACGATGAAGGATGGTTAGGATTAGTTTACTGCACTATATCACTACTCCACAAGTTTGGTGGTGTAAATGGACAGGACTAGCAAGGTGATTATAACTTCGCAGGTTTGGTTAACATGCCAAAAAAGGCTGGGAGAGGTTTCCACCAACTGTCTGATTAGACGACTATTTCTATGTTTTCCTTTTGTGTTACAAAATTGTTTTGTTGAATATATTTCTAAGTGTTTGCTTCTGATGAGTAAAGCTTTGACAAGTTTGTGGTGTTCATGGTTTTCATCCATAGAGAAATGTTTTAAAGAAGAAAATAATTTCTCTGAGGCAGTTATATTTATCAGACCTGAGATTTTCAAAATGTCCTAAAAGACATTCCAAGGTTTTGTGAGGTGCATTTTCTTTTGGAAAAAAATAAATCGGGCATTTCTAGTCTTTTAAAAACTGGATGCAGTATCCAGTTACACTGAGTGTTTTTTTTCCTGCTCTAAAATGTAGCAACCTTTACCATAATTAAATGAACTAATAATGGTTGTGGTTTATCTTTTCTGATTAAAGCAGAACTCTGGAAGTAGAACAGAGCACGTAGCTCTGGGAAATCAAGTGGATTTGTTTCTCTGTGTGTGAGATACTGCATTTGCGTTCTAGATTTAAAATATAATTGCAGAGTCCCATGGATGCAGGCCACCCACATCTATTGTTTTTAACTTCCAGTGTTGAATAAAGACTTACAGTTTACATTCCGTAATCCTGTTATACCTTGTTAAAGATATCAACAAGTAGAACAGTATTTCCATACCTGAGAACCCAAAGCCAGTTGAATGCGTTATTTGTTTTTTAAGCAGACTAGAAATTAGCTCTTTGAAACGTATCTTGTTATCTCTCATTCAGAAAGCCTAAGTACAGCAATGTGTATCTTCAGCCCTTCTTCATCATAACCACAAGTGTGCAATCAAATGTTTGCTATCAGTTGAGGAAGATAACTGTTAATAAACGCTTACACTTCCAGGGTATACGTATGCAAGTTTAAAAGGTCTGCTGAGTTGGCTGTTAAAAAACAGCTTAAGAGTTTAACATGTCAGAGTTAGGATGATGGTAAGTAACCAGAACTAGATGTACTGAAACTTATATTGCTGTGCTTGGGTTTTTTAAAGCTGTGAGGTATGTGGAGATTTTGTTTGGTTGGGTTTATTAAGTTGCAATAAAATATATACCTTAAAGATACAAAGCATAAAGATATATAGATTCACGGTCAGGCCAGGCCAGCCGGCGGGCGGTGCTGCGTGGCTCTAGTCTGAATGGTGTTTGGACCTAAGCGAGGACATGCTTGGGTGATTTGAAATGCCGGCTGATCAGGCTTGGATCCGCCTGCCGTAGCTCTCTGTAAACATATTTTAGACTTCTGAAAGTGAAATTTCTGTCTCCCACTGCTGTCCACGTTTCCCGGGTGTTGTAGCAGCAGCAGTCACCGACGGTTTCTGCGTTGCCATGGGACAGGCTGTGGGTAGCCTGTGTGCTGGCAGCATCACCAGGTCTTCCCCTTTCCTGCTCCGGTCCCACAAGGCAGACAAGAGCTTGATACACCTGCACAAAACTTGCTAAGTGCAGACCCTGCCTGCTGGCCTTTCTTCTGAGGGGTGTTTAGACTGTTTTTTAAGCCTTTCTATTTGTTCAATGTAGACGCTGGCGCTTTAAGTTAATTGCATATTAGATAATCTGTGTAGTGCTACCACTGTTTCCATTATAAGTGTTAGCTAGTGTGGTATGTCTGTTATAACCTCACATGAACAAGGAATGGAGGGAGGACTGTGGTGCTGTGTAGAAGGTTTTATTCCATATAATTCAGGCTAACGGGCTGTATTTGAAGGTGGTAATTCCTGGTCTGTGTGGGACCCACTCCTGGATTTTTCCTCAGTTCCTGGAATGACTTTTTAAGACTTTTATAATTCCTGAGGTGTAACCATGAATTAGATTATTTTTAACCCTATTTCAAGCTTACTTTGCTTATTTTATGGAGGAAGCATTTAGAAGATGGTTTGTGTTTTCATGCAGTTTGGGTTTTACATTCCAATTTTGTTCATGGATTTACATTTACATTGAAGTTATATGATTTATATGTATTTGAGTGAAACACAATGAGGAACTTATGTAATACACTATTCTCCATGTGTAAAAGAAAGGAAGAAATGTCCCTTAGCTTCCTTGTCTAATGACAACACTAAAGTTACTTAATGTGCATTGTAAATACGCAACATATGAAGCTTGACATAACACTTGTCGTGGTTTAACCCCAGCCAGCAACTAAGCACCACTCAGCTGCTCGCTTGCTCCCCCCTGGCCCCCGTGGGATGGGGGAGAGAATCGGAAAGAAGAAGGTAAAACTCGTGGGTTGAGATAAGAACAATTTAATAGAACTGAACGGAAGAAACTAATAATGAGAATAATAACAATGATAAAATTACAACAATAATAAAAGAATGGGAATACACAAAACAAGTGAGGTACAATGCAGTTGCTCACCACTCACCAACTGATGCCCAGTTAGTTCCCGAGCAGCAATCTACCCAGGCCAACTACCCCCCAGTTTATATACTGGACATGACGTCACATGGTATGGAATACCCCTTTGGCCAGTCTGGGTCAGCTGCCCTGGCTGTGTCCCCTCCCCACTTCTTGTGCCCCTCCAGCCTTCTTGGTGGCTGGGCATGAGAAGCTGAAAAATCCTTGACTTAGTCTAAACACTACTTAGCAACAGCTGAAAACATTGGTGTGTTATCAACATTCTTCTCATACTGAACCCAAAACATAGCACTGTACCAGCTACTAGAACGAAAATTAACTCTA